TGTGGTGCTGGGGGATTGAACCGCGGTCCCTGATGCTTTGCTAAGCTTGTTCTAAGTAGGTGCTTTAGACCACTGAGCCATCTCTCCAGCCCCTCATAAGTCTTTCTTTCTCCATAAGGATAAAATAATTAGGCCCATAATAAACTCTTCATCTTTCTTATAAGGGCTTGAGACAAGTGATACAAGGAGAAAGAGGCACTCTTCTTTTTTTCTTTCTGGTACAAAATAGTCTAAGAAGAAAATGACCCTGAAATGCTGCTTATATTTATGCAAGAGCCAAAGAAGGAAAAGAAGACCAACACAGGATATGACCTTAATTCCCTGTTCTCCCAGAGGAGTTTAAATAGGAGAACTCCATGGAATCAGGGCTGAACCACAATCCAGGGCTGTTGGCTTTCCATCCCTTGGAAGTGTGTCTCTCCCAGATTTTATGTTCCCTTCTGTTGTTGAGGATCTTTGGCTAAACATTCTGGGTTCTGGGCTGTGTAAATGGTGCCGTCTTTTTTTGAGCCACTTTCTCAATATTTCTACTTCTTTTAAAGAGTTTAACTGGGTTGACAACATGAGTGGGTTTTTAAAAAATTGATGGTTGAAGTTAGCCCATTTAAAACCTTTAACAGTCTCCTCTTCCAAAGAGGAGTACCAGAGTCCCTAGTGTTAATTCTCCTTTGTGACAACCCAAGGCCCTTTCTGAGGCTGGGACCTCCATCATTGCGGCCATTTGAAGGGTCTTGCTCTTGTAGTTAATTTTTGTCTTCACACGATTTCCACCTCCATATGGAAACATGGCTTAATACCAGACACTTGCATAATGGAAATGGAAAATCTCCACTAACTCCTTTATTATCTTCCAAATGCCACCCCATTTTGTTTAAGAACTAGTTACAGGCATGACTTTACTTTCTTATGTCATGTTCTGGTGTTTTTTTTTGTTTGTTTGTTTGTTTGTTTTTGTTTTTGTGGTACCAGGGATTGAACTCAGAACTCTGTGCTTGCCAGGCAAGCACTTATTCTACTAAGCTATCTCCCCGAGCCCAAATTTATTTGTTTGTTTGTTCTTTGGTGGTACCAGGGATCAAACTCAGGAACTTGTGCTTGCCAGGCAAGCACTTATTCTACTGAGCTATCTCCCCAGCCCTTGTTCTGTTATTGATCAAACGCCAATCAGTATTGTATTTTATCTGCAGTATTTCACAAGACAAAGATCTGTAGGTGGCTTCTCTCCTGAAGAATTGTGCTTACCTTAGTGTTTTGAAGAAGGTAACCCAGCGAGTCACCCCTGTGTTGAGCACACTGTCTTGTGCTGCTCCATGCTAGCACACTGTCCTGGTTCTCCTTATGCCTCTCTGACATCTACTCCTCCACCCTATTTTTAATGTGCAGAGTTTGATTGCCAAATAGCCCTGGGGATGAGTTTTCTCTTTCTGACTTTCTCTTTCTGAACCAAATTCTTCTGGTTCCATATGTTTGGTCTATGCATATGGTTTTAGCACCTATATTTGTCACCTGCCTGATTGTTCCTTCTTGCTCCAGATTTTTAAATTTAACTCTGCATCTCACCAAACCTGCTTTTGTGCCTGTCTTTCCTTCTCCAAAAAAATGCCATGTGTCCCTACTCCAGCACATAACTTCATTAAGCCTCTGCCTCCTTCACTCGCCACAGTCTCCTACCTGGTCTCTCTGCTGCAGCCATGGTCCTGGTCCTGGTCTGCTCCATGCACAGAAACAACTGCTGTTCTTGAAATCAGTAAGTGATCCAAGCAAATAACCAATGGCTAATTAAAAAACACAGAGCACAAATGCCAGTGGCTTCATATTCCTTTGTTCATAATCAATATTTATTTCATTTACTAATTTAATCAATGTTAATTTGTTCAGTACTGAAGTAGTAGAATCCCCAAAGCAAATTTAGTCTACTAGCCAGCCAGAATGCTGTCATGTATAGTGGCTAACCTCAACAATTGGATTCTGAAATTTTGCCTCAATTTAAAAATAGAGATACTATGATTCTGCTTATAAGTAACTGTTTAACTCAAATTTGCTGCCAGAATTAATGAATTTGGATAAGTAAAAAGTTCTCAGAGTCTTTTGGTATAAAATATTAGTTCATTTGATTCCATAATTTTTAATATTGTGATGTTAAACTATGACTTTAACCTTTTATTCTACTATGCTTATTTTAACTAAAGTGTTTACTACATTCAGTATTAAAGATTTGATATATTATGTTTCATCTACATCTATAGCACTTTCATTGATTTTTTGTCCTATTTCTCAATATTATAGCTTTCTAATGTCAAATTTTGCAATGTACTATTTTATCAATTTTGACTAATAGATATTACTGTAAGAAGTTGTAGCTGATGTCAATTCCATCTTCCATTGATTATTTCTCAGATTTTAATTTTTTCCATGTAAAATTGTGCTGGTTTTTTATTTACCAACAGGTGATTCTTGCATTTATTTTGAATATTTCTCAACTTGCTTCAAAAAAGTTCATTATGTATATTCATAGAATTCCTCTTTCATTTTCTCCTGATACTATTTACTGAATCTAATTTGACTCAGATTAAATTTTATTTTCTATTGAATGTCCTCATTGCCAAAATTCCAGGGTCAAAATATTCTTCTATAGTTTTAATTTCTCTTGACTTTTTTCCCTTCTCCTTCATGATATCAGTGTTACCTAGAGTTGTAGCCATTGAAAATTATTACTTAAATGGATTGAACTCCACATGGAAATTGAGAAGGCCTGCAGGCAGCTCGAAGATCAAATATTAATTTAAGGGAAAAGATGTTTCTTTAGGCAAAATATGTAAATTTGATCTATGATTCACTGGGCAAGAGCTCTTTCCTTACCTTTGAGCCTCCATATCCCACGGCAATCCAATGTGACATTCTCTCTCAGGTGGAATAGACTGTCTGTTGGCACAAACATTGCAACAACTTTTCCTCATCTGTGTGAAAAAGAGCCTGTAGAAAACTGAGTGAATTATAATATACAGTTTTCTTACAATGAGCTCCTTCATTTTAACTTTTGGTAGTTTAGTTTAAGTTACTCAAATATATATATTTTGAACAATCTTGAAAGACTTTGGGCTGTCTACCTAACTTCAAAAGTATTCAAAACAGATAAGGTGGCTGCTGTGGGATGGATTTGATTTGAATCCCCAATACCTTTCATATTAAGTTTTCTTGAGAATCAGGAGAGCTGAATATTATTCACTATGGAAGGCTACCTGGATCTCTGGTTATGTTAAGTGGGTATAAGCACAATATTAAAATAGTA